AACAGACGTTGTCATCACTCACACGTCTACTGTAATAAACGTCATCAACAATACATTTGATGTCATCACTCACATGTCTACTATAGTAAACGTCATCAACAAAACATCTGATGGGCAACAGACGTTGTCATCACTCACACGTCTACTGTAGTAAACGTCATCAACAATATATCTGATGGGCAACAGTGTCATCACTCACACGTCTACTATAGTAAACGTCATCAACAATACAACTGATGGGCAACAGTGTCATCACTCACACGTCTACTATAGTAAAAATTATCAACAATACATCTGATGGGCAACAGAGTGTCATCACTCACACGTCTACTGTGGTGCACGTCATGTTAAGCAGAGACTGGTGGGGGCGTTAGTGAACCTCTGAGCGGACCATTCACACAGGCGAACACCATTGCATGGCAGGTACAGGTTAGTGCGTTTCTTGTATGAACAAAGTGTGTGTTTTGTAGGATAGTGCGTGTCTTGTAGGTTAGTGTGTCTTGTAGGTTAGTGTGTCTTGTAGGATAGTGCTTATCTTGTAGGTTAGTGTGTGTCTTGTATGAACAAAGGGGTCCTCTGCTAATAAACGTATTTAGACAGACCTCACAGACACCTGTACTTCAGTATGTCCCGCCTGAGCCGGTTCGTAGACATGATGGTGTCATAAACAAATTTGCGGCTATGAAATACAAGAGCAACCCATCGCACACACATGCACAAGCGCCCCCAAGGCTACTTGTCCTAAACCCCTAAACCCTAAATCCCCTAAACCCTAGTCATGTACACCCACACATCCACACACCGAAGGCCAGTGGCTGCGGCGGAGCAAACAGTGGGGTGGGCATGAGGGTCTTCTTGTGGGCCTGTGTGGGTGGCTGTGGCTGTGGCTGTGGCTGTGGGTCGCCCGTGTCTCCCTCTCGTCCGTTGGTGCCACTCGCATCTGTGCTGCCGTGTGTGGGGTTGGTCTTGTTGTAGTCATTGGGTCCCTGTGGGGAGGGTTGTACTGGTGGTGGGCCACTGTAGTACTGAGGTGCCTCCCCGAACGGTTGTGGCGGTGGGTGTTGTGCCAGCGGCTGTGTGTGCTGTTGCTGTTGTTGTTGTTGTTGTTGTTGTTGTGGGATTGGCTCGTACGTTATTGGCTGGCTGTGAGCACCCGGTGCTGCTGAGTCATGCCCGCCGTACTGCTGCGCTTGCTACAGGGGTGGGTGGAGGTGAGGCGGTTTAGGGTTTAGAGTTTAGGGTATCTAAGGTGAGTGCTCGGTTGTCAGAGCTTGTTTTAAAAGCACACAGATATTCAGCTACGAGTTCTGCTGGAAAGTTTAGTGACCTGTGCGCACGGTGCGGCTCTACACAATCGCAATATACGACACAGAACAACGGGTGAGGTACCAACAGACAGACAGGAGCGCCGATGGGCAACAGATGCTTTGACAGCCACGTCCTCGCAGAATCAACAGAAGTGCAAATACAAACGCACGGAAACGACCACTGTCAAGTTGTTCATTCAAAGATGTACATAAACACTTAGGGTATATATATATATATATATATATATATATATATGTGTGTGTGTGTGTGTGTGTGTGTGTGTGT